AAACAAATCAATACTTTTGGTCGGTTTGCTGGACCTGAGGGATAGCACCTGAGGGCTGGGACATAGTGGCGTCGTGTTGGGCAAAGAGGTTGGTGAGATCCTGATAATTAGTCTCATTATTATAATGTGGTAACTGTTTCTCCTGATCGAAGTACGACTTCTCCCTCATCTGTCTGGAGATCTTCTTGGCCAGTCGTCTCATTTGAAACAGTATTACAAAACTACCGATGAATAGGACGACCAGTCCAGCGCCGCCGTAGTACATCAGGTGCTTGTCGTTGAGGAAATGGTGCCCAAACACGGCGTACATACGTCGAGGGTGGCAGTCGGGTATGTAATCCACTTGAGACCAGTTGCCGTCCGGTTGACAGTATAGCTCAGTTGCCGGCACAGCCACTAACGACCTGTTCAGACAGTGGTAGACAATGGTCGACACATCCGGCAGGGCGTTCCCGAAGAGGTCAAAGTCCTTGTACTCGAACGTAAAATTCTCTACCCGTTCGACCAGTCCGGTGAGGCATCGGATTTCCGGTTCACATCTCGGAGGTTGAGGGGGTTTCCATAGGCCGTCGGGTCCGCACGTACGTAGTGACGGGCCCACCATTTCGTAACCCTTAGCGCATACATACTCTGCTATTTTAGTGCCATTTTGTATTCGCATTTGATTGGTGTAGGAGTAGAGGGGTATCTCTGGTTTACCGCAATCGTCTACAATCAGGGTAAACACCTCCAGTGCGCACACGTTTATGTTAACCGCCGTAGTCTTCAGATCGATGGTCACGCTATCGATAGGCTGGGGTGTGTCCGGACACTTGTATACCATGAACACCATCGCCGAGTTCTCCCGTTCCGAGCGCTCCTCCAATTTGCACACCTGTCCGGTCGGCAGTGTTATTGATATGTCAATCTGTGTCTTACGCTGTGAACTGTCGAGGAATGTGGTGACCAGAGCCACGTCCGACACCAGACGTCTGTCCCCCAAATGGATAGTCCATCGCTCGTTGTCTTTGAGGAGTACACACGTGGAGGGGTCAGCGTCTGTCAGGTATAGGAACTCCTGTTCGGCTAAGTTATGGTTCTGAGAGCCGACTGAGTTGTCCTCCGGTGTGATGTCGATTGCGGTGATGTTGTGTATGGATGAGCAGCGCAGGGATGTTGTGTTCCACGTGTTGTTCCGGCACTGAATGACGTGATCCCGCATTGTCTGCCCGACAGCCACACCACCGATGCAACTGACGTACAGTTTCTCGCCCTATATGTAGTGATATTTTTTAAATTTATTCAGTTTTGATTATAAATATTTAAATTTAATTAAGTTTGTAAGACATTAGTTAGAGTTTGTATTATTGTTTGATTTAATTAGAAAATTATCTCTACTACTAGTAGTTATTTTATAATTTTAAAAATTTAATAGTATCGCAATTATATTATATTAAATTAAGGTTTTAATTTAGTAATTATATTAAAATTATTGAAAGTAATAAATACCTCTTCAAAGTAATCTTTACTTTCGATACTTTTGGACATGTATGGCATCTCTGGGTAACCGCACCGGCAGTCTATGCCGGACAGCCAGTTATTAAATATTACAAAACACAAAACCAAATTATATTTAGATGGCATGGTTACATTTAACTCTAAATAGAGTATTGATAGGTATTTATGTAACTCTTTGATGTAATTACAGAGTATACTAAAGAATATTAAAGAATATTTTAATATGAATTTTGATGATTTCTGCACAAAAAATATTTATTTAATGCGTCAAAAATAATATTGAATTTTATTTTCTTATAAGAATATTCTGTAATATGAATATTATATAAGTATATAAAATAAATTTAAAATCGATTTTCATTTTTAATGTGGTTTCCGATGACTATCTATTACATCGCTAATGATTGGATCGCGTTTTAATAAGTAGTTTAATGGTGTTTATTGTATTATATTTTGACAATTATTTTTATAAATAATAGATTCAAGAATATATTATTTCGAAAGTTTTTTCTTGACATTCAATGAGAGAATGACTTCAAGAATATTATCTTAAATATGACTTTTTTGTTAATAATCTATCGATTGGTTTAAGAAATATTTGCTTTGAATACGAAATATAGTAGCAATTAATTATTTGCTTAATAATATTATTTAAATATTAAAGTTCAGAATATTTTTAACAAAATTTTATAGAGGTTTTTAAGTAAATAATTTTGCAAAGCATAAAAATTATTTATAAAGATTTGATAGTGCAATTATAGCAATTTATATTAGTAAAATACCGCAAATAATTTATTTATAAGTAAATATAAACGTACAAATTATTTTTAAAATAAATAATAATTAAATATTTTTATAATAGTAAATTTCTGATAAAAATAGAAATAGTGCATTTCAAGTATTAGGACATTAACTAACGCATAAAATTATATTTTTGTTTATTATAATTAAAACATAATTTTATATAATAAATAAAATGGTCTAAAAGTATCTTCATTTGTTAGTCTAAGACGTGAAAAACTCTTGAGTTTTTTCGGAAGTCTGTATTCTATAGGCAGTCATTCCTTTGCCTAATGTCCTGAACATTCTTCCGACGTTCAGGTGATCATAAGGCCTAACATTCCCGGAAGGCGTACCGGTCTCTCGGGTCCACTGCTCCGGGTTCTCCCCGATGTAAACGAAAGTCCAGTCGCCTTTGGCCTGGTGTTCGGCAATCATATCCTTCACCTGTTGTTGTGTCGTCTCTTGGGATGAGTTCTCTTCTCCATCAGTCATCACAACGCAAATCACTCTCTCATCTGTTTTCTTGTCCTCATCGGCCAGTCGTACAGCCTTTGCAATGGCGTCGTATAGCGCTGTTCCCGGTAAGGGATGGTATGTCTGGTCAGTGAGTTGGGGCACATCTGCCAGTGCGACACCACTGTGGACAATAGTGATCCGAGCGTTAAATATGATCAGATATAGCCGACCCTCATCTGGGAGTACCGACTGTTGGTCTCTAATGAAGGCATTAAAAGAGTCCAAAAGGTGGGCCAACTTAGAGCACATACTTTGCGACTCATCCAGTATTATGATAATCATGGTTTTTGTCACTTTTGGGATTATCTCATCATAAGTATAATTTTGGACATTATCACTTGTATTTTTATTAGATGATAAAAGTTTCCTTAAATATAGACACATGCACATTTCAATAGACTATAGTTATTTTTACTCACTTTTTGAGAAAATTTAGATATTATTTTCAGATTAAGTTATTTATTATTTATCATAATATGATATTACTGTATCTTACATCAAAGTATCATTATTAAATTATAATTAAGTTATAATTACGATATTTATTCATCACTTTTATTTATGAATATTTTTACAGCTAAAATAATTTGTAATAAAATGTGTTAAAAACATGTTTCTAGTATTAAATATGTTTGGAGATGTTTATCAAATAATCTAACTATTTCATTTACTTTTTAAATTGTTTGTAAAAGTGTTGTCAACAAAACATTTTTATAATTAGCATTGGAGTCAGTATTTTATAATATATTACCGAAAATTATTTAGTTATTGAATACTATTTACAGATAATTTAAACTGAGTATACAGCAATTTAGTACTCAGGTGTCTAATAAATATTTGCATTTAATTATTGATAAACACAATACTTCAACAAACCTATTTTGTATTAAAATTTTAAATATAAGTCATATATGATGTAAGCTTATACTGATTGTGGATTTTTTAGATAAAATATAAGTTACAAAAATACAACTATATATCTCTGTTATGTTTTTGTCGTTTAGAGTCACAAAGGAATTGATTCGGAGTTATATTTTTTGTATTAGTTTTTGTCTTAACAACTAAACAGAAAAAATAAAATTTTCATTTTAAAAAGTTTTTGTAAAAGTGAAATAAAATCAGTTTTGACTTTTGTATTGTTTTCAATATTTCATTGAATGCATACACTTGTGAATAATCTATTATTAAAATTCGCTTACTTTTAATATTAAAAATCGATGTTTAATAAAAATAATCTTTTTAATATATATTTTGAAACTTTATTTTACTAAAAATAAATTATTTAATATATTTTATGAAAAAATCGTTTAATTTTATTAATATTCACTTAGTTTAATCAAGTGTATTAATATCATGAAATACTTTTGTTAATTAATATAAAGTTTAATTAATATTTACATAAAACGTTTTTTAAACATATATATTCAGATTTCACTTGGTGTAAATTAAAATTTTTTATTTACTTAATTTTAGTTTTTACAGTTTACTTAATTAAAGTTCCCATAAAATAAACAATTACAAAAAATTATTTAAGTTTAATTATATAAGCAATTAAAAGTTTAAAGGAACTACTTAATGTTTTAAAATAATTTGCATTAAATGCTTTATTTTTTATTGTATTGTATTTGGGTTTTCCAATAAACCTTGATCAATTTTACCGGTAATATTCGATTATTCATTAAGGGTACATTCTCTTCAACATTCAATTGCTCATATTATTTAATTCAATATATATAATCCATTTAACTTACAAGATTAAGTTAGTCAAATTTAGTTAAATAAATGATTAAATAAAAAATATTAAGTTTACTAATTGTGTTATGCTTTAAAGTGTTTTTAAGTTAAAACTTTCTAAATTTAACTAAAGTTGTCTTTGTAAAATATCCTGTACTAATATTAGTAATTCAGTAATTATTAATCAAATTAAAAATAATAACTTTGGTAAATTTGTAGTTCTGTAACGCTATCCCTAATGTTAATCTCCAGTAGTATTTAAGTATATTTATGTTTATAATGTTTATTAAAACTTTAATTAATTTCTTATACATTAAAGTAATTTAATCGGCAATATTAAAGATGTATCCATGATAATTGCCATTAATTAACTTTTAATAATATATGAACAAAATCAATATATTTATCTTATTATTAAGAGATTTAGTGAAAACTTGTACTTAGAATATGTGCTTAAAGGCAGTCAGAAGTACGGGTTATAACCATCTCATAGGACATGCGTTTGACTGAAATCGGAGGCAACAATCGATTGGTTCACCAGAAGGTTCACCTGATATACCATTCAAAGCATAACTCATAGACAGAGCCAACGAAACTTAGTTAGCGATTGGCGACAATATATATATCCATAACTCTTCAACATTGCGTTCAACTTATATCTTAATCCAAGTTTTCCCAACTCATTGAAAATTGAATCTTTTTTGGATAACAGATATCAACTATGGTTTTGATAAAGTCGTGCTGTTTTTTCAAGAGTCTCAGAAACGGTTGTGTGGTCTCCGGTATATATACTCTGGTGAGTAGTTATCAACTTCCCATATATTTATTATGTAGATCACTATATGACATACACTTTATTTGATATTAGTTTACTTCCATCTAAATCCTTTGCATAATTAAATTATAATTAAGATATATATGGATTTTCTGAATGCAATGATTGCCTGATTTGGATCCACTATTACTTTGATATTCGTCCGCAACAGTGGATCAAAATCTTATGAATTATTTATGTTAAAGAATATGACATTAAATATAATGTGTTTATTGAGACGAATTCATACAAATAAGAAATAGTAATAAGATTTTTCTCGTCGAGATATTTGGTGCCATAAAGTATTATATGTAAAAAATACTGTAGCAATGTAATGAATACAAATAAAAGTTATGTCAAAACAGAATTCATTTACTATTTTTCGTGTTTTTTATAAGTCTGGTATTTGAATCATTGCAAATTGTTATTTATTAAATTGCTATTATGTATTAAATAGTTATCAAATTTCTAAACACATTAAAAGAGGTTTTAAATAATCTTTTCAAAAAATTATATACTGATATTTAGTTATACTGTATTGTGTGAGTGTAAAATGTTGTATTATAATGTTATGTGTAAAGTAATACAAGCTTGTGAGAATTACTTCAAAATAAATTTAATGGTTCAATTTTTGCAAGAATCAATTCAAATACCTAGTATTGATTTTAACAACTATTTCAAGTAGTTTCCTGTTCATACAGTAATGGTAGGTGTCCATTTAATCACCTACCTAAGTTTGTGTAGCCTGGCATACTAATATGGTCATGAAAGTCCAAGTTTCAAAGTAATAAAAAGTTGGAAAAAGCGTATAATCATTTAAAGAAATAAGTAAACTATAAAAAAACCTTTAATTCTTATTATTTTTTATTAAACAATTTAGTTTTAAGCCCTTTTTAAGAAACATGGACTAATTTAGCAACTTAAGCGTGGGTTTTAAAGTTATAGTAATGACATTATTTTGAACTTTATAATGTTAGAATATTCTGTATAATAAAGAGTTAAAGATTCAGTGTAGCTAACTACCCGTGATCATACATATAGTAACGGAATTTTGTTTTTAATCTAATAAACCCAATATTTTATTATACTAATTATTTCGAAACATTTCCATATATTAATTGAAAATTGGATTTCATTACTATTTATTAGATAAATATTTAAATGATGACAAATAAAAATATTGAGAAATATCAAATTATTTCTCATCTCATAAAACACTGTATATGTGTCGTAAAAATTTGTTAATTTATTAAACAAAACTACTGAACAGAAAAAGTGTTCATCAAAAAACACATAAATGACACAAAAATTAATCAAACAATTTGACAACACTTTTGTGTTTGAAGACTCTTTCAGACTAAATATCAAACCTTTTACTATAAAAACACATTTAAA